ACCCAAATTTTCTCTTTCACAGACACGTTAGAGTAACCTTCAGGAAGGAACAGCAGTGAATGACCAGAAACACTAAAATAGGTGGCCTGCTTCACATTTCCCATTGCATCCAAGTGTATTGCAGAGATGATCTGATATACACTGGCCTTGAGCCTAAGAATCTGGTTGCATCTGATTCCCAGAATCCCAAACCTGCCACTTCACTTTGCTGGTTTTGTTCAATCAGTCATTATATAACTCTCTTTGAAACACTTTAATCACATTTATATCATCCAGAGTGATCACTTTTAATTAATGCCATTCAATAGTTGATGTTGTATTAAAAATAAAAACCTACATATTCATGCATTCAGTCTATTTAGTTGTGAAAGTGCCCTTACGCCCACACCTCCCAAAGGGCCTGTCCCATTACTACAGGCAAGGAGCTGGTAGGTTACTATTTTTCCTGGTATACAAACAAACATGCCCATACCTGCTTCCTGAAGCTCAATCACTGCATGTGATGCATGCAAAAGTGCACGGTCTGAAATTGGTTTGGTTGGTACGAATGGACCTAAATCTAAATCAACAGTAAAATATTTAGATCGCTAAATATTAAGTAAAGCCTCCACGTGAGATTGGATGTGATACCAAGTAATGTCAAGTTTCATATGGCAGAGATCTGAAGCTTCGGTTTTTGAAGTAATTCATAACACTGCTTTATAAAAAATGATACAAGCTGTGTTTCTCCAGCATATAAGATCCCCACCCAAAACGGCTACCCTTGAGTTTCAAATCTACTTTCACCAGATATAACGTACTGTAGAAACCATTCTTGCTTTTAATCTCAAACTAGCCATGAGCAATAAATAAATATTACTAAATTTAAAGACTGCTGGGTAGATCAAATTGAAGAGTAAAATCTGCCATGATCACCTAGAAAAGAACTTTACAACTATAATCAAACCGCATTTATAATTAAGATAGCAAAAACAAGATCACAAATACAGCTGTACTAATGTATTGTGTGTATGAATGACACTGTGTTTGACCTAAGGAGTGTTTTATTAATGTGGTCTCACACTATACACAGTGGTTTCTACTAAAAGCTCAACAACAATCCTAAGATGAAGGTCTAGTGGTCAGATATATGAAGAGATGCATATGTCCTAATTTAATGCCAGTCTTTGTAACAAGACTAGCTTTTGTCTAACACTGATGCATTTATACAAAAAAAATATAGCAATGACCCTCTGAAGATTAATGTTATATGAGAAATAATTTCCCAGCCATATTAACCATGTTTTAATTTACATTTATTATGCATAACAGACCTATTTTGACCACAACTATGGAGAATAAAGGAGAAACTATGCACTACATCAGCTTCATATCCATTTAATAATCGACAATTGTATGAATACACATGCAGTGACATAGATATAAAGCGTTAAAAAGATAACATCCCCCTAAAAACGTTTAACTGATAAATAAATAGCTAACAAAGAAGATCAAGGGATCACGAACTGCATACAAAACATAGAAATATGGCCTACTATATGAATGACTGTTTAAACAATAAGCATTCAACAAACATTTATTAAAATCAGTCTTTTAAGACAACCAAACCTTGTACACTGAATATTTTCAGCATTTTACTCAGCTCGCTAAAAGAAGCCCTGCAAACAAAGGGTCAAACAGCCAGAGCTGCTAATACGCTAGGCTACCAGCAAGGGCTCCTTCATTCAAATGGGACACAAACACTAGAAATGAATCGCTTATGTCGTCAGGATAAACACAGGGATTGTGGATTAAGACTCGTGTCACTGCAAAGGTAAAAGCCGGGTTATAAAACCTAGAGTTACACAAACAGCAGCAGATTGCTTATGTCCAACCCGACAACAGCTCGAGACAGCTTTGTTCGCGGCTCCCCTACAACACCCCTAACCCCTCACACAAGCACTAAACCGTTATAATTTACTTAAAATGATTAATATATTACCATACGAGCTGCCTCAGCCCACGTGCGCTCCTTCTTTCTCTTCTGTTTGTCCTTCATTTCCTCAGTGTTGTCGCGCGGGTGCGGATTTCTGCAGCGGATATGAAACGTGTGCGTGATATATACGGCAAGCCCCGCTAGCGTGCTAGGCTAATAGCTGCAACACCAAACGGGGGTTTGATTGCGTTTCGCCTATAGTACTCGCTCTGTTTAAACCCCGCACGCTCTTCCGTATAACGGCTTGTCTAAGAAAGCGATCGGTCGTTGTAGCAGCGGCGTTCCTGAGTGTGTTATTTTTAGGCTAACGAACGACTCCGCTGGTTAAATAGTGGTAAACACACACAGGGCGAAGAAAAGGCGAGCCCCAGCAGCTTTTGGCATACTGCAGGAAATCCTCAGTTTGGAATGCAAGACGAGGAGAACGCAACAACGAGGTCAAAGGTCAAACACACTGCAGGAATGCAACACAAAAAACAATTGTCCCCATCCCCCTCTTCTTCAGTCGCTCCTACAGCCGCGGCTCATCTGACGCATCTGACGGGACGAGGCCACGCCCATTGTTATGTGCGGCGAGATCAAACGTGATTCATATTAGGCAGCACGACGCGCACGTTAAAATAACTATATTTCTTTTTTTTGTGCTTTGTGAAGTTTCACTATGCATGTTTTCGACATAAATCTACCTCAAAATGTTGTTTGTTGTAAAAGACAGCTAAGAGATATTCTTATATGCAAAAAAAAAAAATACAGTATGTAGACGTCAAGCTGTGCGTCTTAACCAAAATAACAGCTGTTTCTGGATGAGCATCGTAATTAAATAGTATGTTTTAAATATGGAATCTGTATTCTGGTGTATGTTTTTTTGTAAACTTATTTTATTTAAAAAGAAGAAATATACAATATAGATCAGGAAGTCATCTGTAAAAGACTGAAATACAAGTATAAAGTACAAAGTGATAAGAACAAGTAACAAATAATAAATAGAAAGAGAGAAAAAAAGAACAAAATAAAGAAAGGGGAAGTACAAAATTAAATAAACACAGAAAGCATATAGCAACTAACTTACAGGAAGCATGATATTCTCCAAAGTTTCTATTAACTTGCAGAATTTTTGTTTGTTAGATAAACATGTAGCTCTAAGCAAGGAATCAATTTAAATCAAAATCAATAAAAGTTATATATGTATTCTTCATTTTTTTTGGACTAGAATAATAACAAATACTTTCAATTCAATATTTACAATATTTGTTTACAATATTTGTTGTCTTGATTGGGATTTATTCAAATAATTATATACATCTGACCAAAACTTTTGTCAGATTTTACATGTAAAAAACAAAGTTTCCTCACTTTCCTGACAAAAGAACAAGAATCAGCAATATCAATACATATTGACACAAATGCATTGACCACATACATTTTTATGTAGAATTTTAAAATTAATTTCCTCTGCTTTGTTTGGGATTACATTTATATGGGAAAAGCCATGTTCTTTTCCAATCATTATCTTGTATTAGTGCTGACCATTATGATTTCCATCTTGGAGCGATTAGATTTTTTTGTTTGAGAATTCCAAGAATAAGTTTGTTGTTGCATTTCTTATCATAAATACTAATACCTTGCAATAATAATGAGGGTTCGATGGTTCTTTTATTTATATATGAGATGTGATTTTTTTGTTAGATGTATTAATTCTTTTGGGATGGCATTCACAATAATGTTAAATTTTCTAAATGTGATAGGAAATTGATGAATTTTCATAAATTGTTCATAAGTTAATACGTTCCCCAAAGTATTCTGGTGTATGTCTCCTTTTAAGGAGCTTTGTCAGGGTGTCATCTTTCAGCGGAAACAGCTATGGTTATCTAATCTAATGTACTATATAAATATGTACAGTTCAGATGCAAAAACCTCTAAATACCATCTGAAATGTTCTCCTAAAATGAGTATTTTTCTCAGCCTCTGATGTTTATGTTCAGTGATTCCACTTGAAAGGCAATAAAAAGAACTTATTCATTACTATAAAAGTAAAATTGCTGAGCTTACATACAGGAGTCTGAGAAAAAAAAGCACATTTTAGGAGAAAAATCAAATGACTTTAAGAGGTTTATCCATCTAAACTCGTCAGCCCCTCCCACACACACACACAATCAATGAAGTACTAAACTGATGATTTAACGTTAACATGTAAGTGATTTTGTTTATTCTGTATAATTGTAAAGTATTTTTAAGTTGAGCCTGTGGTTCTTGGTGATTCATAAAATGCAAATCAATGTCATTATTTATCAATGTGGTACTATTTAGACCCTCAGAAGCTATGGACATTTAAAATGTGAAACAGGAAATACGTCAGGACCATTGTTATTGTTTACATCCCTCAAAATGGTCTACTATATTTATAGTGGACCCAAATTTTTGCATGGTTCTTGGTGATACATAAAATGCAAATCAATGTCTATTAGTCTCAAACATATAAAGGCAATAAAAAAATGATACCCGTGGCTTCAGATGTATTGAAACAACTGGTCTGCATATAAGGTGAACATTGTTTTACAGCATTATTAACTTTCATTTTTTAAGACCGCATTTTAAAATTCATGATCATTCTAATGTGGTTATTTTTATAATTATTCTATGTTGAATCCTTGTATTTTATTGCATGTTTGATTTCTCTGTTGTTGTAGCGCTTTGGGTTTTAGAAAAGCACATTGTAAATAAAATGTATTAATATTATTATTAAACCCATAACCCCTTCAAACAGTCTTGAGCATGTTCTAAGACCTCAATATACCATTATGAGCTACATGTATTAATTTTGTTTTGCCTGTATACTGTTTTATTTTACTCTCAAAGTGTCAGTAGCACCTAGGACCACAGTTTCGGGTAAAAACGTATTTAATGTCCTACTGGCTAAAAGTCCGCTATATTTCCCATGGCCTGACGCTTAGTACATTAACAGTAAATTTTTTTGGGTGAACTATCCCTTTAAATGTTTTAAGACTGACATCCTTCATTTCACTTCACACAGGACTTTTATTTTGAAAGGCTCGGATGAATGGAACCACCAGGGAAACCGAAGTAAATGTATTTTATTAAGAAAAAAAAACTGATTTAGTGAATAACAAAAGAAATTCCGAATGGTCGTTTACTGCAGACTACACTGTAATGTAAATATATATATCAAATAATGCAAGAAAGATCTTCAGTTTGAATCATTTTGATACACTGCGGGGCTTTCGACATTCGCCATCTTTGTTCGGGGCAAATATGCCGAAAAGTTGTTCTGCATCTAATTGCACAAATAGGTACAATAACAAAAACCCAGAGATAACTTTTCACAGGTAGGTGATGAAAAACAGCCCACTTTTATGATGTTTTGAGTGCATTGTATTAAATATATCATAAAGACATCTCCATTCTTTGTCAGGTTCCCTTTCAGTAAACCATCGGTTCTGAAACAATGGCTTGATAACATTGGACGAGACGACTTTCAGCCAAGGAAACACATGGTCATCTGCTCTCTTCATTTCACTCCGGACTGTTTCAGTGGTTTGGGAAACCGGAAAAATCTGTTATGGAACGCAGTGCCAACCCTTTTTGCAGTGCCAACCCAGGATGCAAATGTAAGTCAATTCACAGATGTCATTTCCAATAAATGCGCATTCTATTCTTGTTGATATCATCTTTGTGCCGTCAGCAAAATAATTCCAGAAAGAGGCAGAAGAGGGCTTTAAAATCTGCTGCTGAGAAATGGGATGGCATTACACCTGATGGGTTGCCTCTTTTCACTGAGGAGATGCATGAGGACACTCAAGACTGTAACAATAATGAAGTGGCTGACTGTCAAAGCACAAAGGTGAATCTTTAATCTTGCTGAATAGTTCCATATTTCTGTCCATATACATTAGGTGTGCAAACAAAACCTTTTTTTTAATATTTTATTTTAACAGGTTTTTGCTGCTGCAGACCACACCTATGCCCTCTCGGATGCATGCACAACCAAAGCCCGTCTGTTTAATATTTTAGATGCCAACAGATGGCTGCGGAAAAGGTTGCAGGCCAAATGCAGAGTGATAAAAAGGATGAAACTTAAATTGAAAGATGCTCAAAGAGAACTTCTAACTTTGCGTCAACAGATCAGACATCGGCATGTAAATCACTAAAGACATTAACAGATAATAAAAAGTTGAAATCTTAAGTCTTGGCCTTAGAGAAAGAGATTAAACATGTATATTTATCCTAAAGCAGAAGTTTTCCTACTAACTTTTCTGTTCTTTGGATTAGGGCATTGTTTACAGTCTAATTTTTAACGCTTGATAATAAGGTCCCATTAGTTATTGCATTAACCATCACTGAGTAATAATTAGTTTACATTGTTATTTGTTATTAAAAATAAAATGTAAATTAGTTTGTTACCTCAGAAAGCTTAATTATCCAATCAGATTAATTATTATATCTTTCAGCACATTAGAATTTTATGCTTTGAAGACAATGTAGTTGTTTTTGTTGCCCGTGCCTTTGATGCTAGTTCTCCCTGCACCGTTTCAACGTGACTGTCAGAGTCTGCCTCAATCTCCGCCTTGACTGCGTCAGATAAACTGCACAGTGACAGACATGAAGCAAGCAGATCATCCTACTACAGAACTTTACCAATGATTATTTGACAGACACACACAGCGTGCACATTTACTTTACAATGTTTTTGCACACAAATGTGACAGGATACACGTTAATATCCACTGATGTATGGATATCCGTTCTGTTAATGTACAAAATAAACCTGATGTAACATCCACAAACCGGGAATGAAGCATCTTTTCTAATTGTACTGACACATGGCTGTGGTGATAAAGATAGTAAAATCGCTGTAAATCATTACAAACATGCACTGTTTTAAAACGATTTAAACTTGTAAAACTCATTCTTGATCACATTTGATGATGACTGATGATCACAGAGAGCTGAACAGATCTTTTAATCCCAGTTTCTTTATACACGTCATCATGTTGATATGATTATACATGTTAATATGGAGAGATCTTAATAAGTGGCTGTCAATCAATTCAGTGGGTGGGGAAACCGCACTCCAACGTCACGTAGGACCTCTTGAACCTCAAAATGGGAGGGATTTGGATCCTATTTTAATGTTAGGAAATTAAAAAAAGACATTGTCTTTATATCACCCCAATAATACTGTGGCCACACTATACCTTCACACAGTTCTCTCCAAACAGCTTACAAAAGATCATTTTCATTATAGACGCCCTTTAATAAAGCAAGGGCTGAAAAGTTTAAATAAGATTATTAAATGTTTTACATCAAATAATGTAGTTGACTTGCTTTTTAAAATAAATGTCAATTCATCACAAGGCTTTAACAGCAAAAAAAAAATAAAAATAAAAAAATTACATTGACAATTACTTTAAATACTTTTTAAAAATGTCCTGTTAGTTGTTTGCTTCCTCTGCTTAATAGATCTGAGTTAACACTATGAATAGTTGTACATTTATGAACCTATGATATCAAAGAATTATAATAAATGTATTGCTTATTCTAATGCAATAACTAATGGAAGCTCATTGTGAGGTATTACCATAGAACCTTATGGTAAAGCGCTAAAGATTAAATTATACCTGATGTACTCCTGTTTATAACATTTGCGGTAACACTATGCAAGATCTCACTTCATCAAATTAAAATCTGCCATGTACCCCATTCAAAATCAATATTTATTTCCATTGTTTCTTTAACGATTTATTTTAAAAGCGATGATTTTTTGCAGTCTATACCTGCTGCAAATGGCCATTGGGTGAAATTTAACAATCAACTCCTTTGAACAAACCAATACTCCAGTCAACAGTTATAGATTGTTGTTTTAACATCATTCAACTGGCAAGTGTGCAGAATGGACACATTTCAAATAAATTATGACCGCCCTCCTCCACAAAAAAAGACATTCCATACAGTCTTTCAAATATAAGATAAATCAAAACAGAAATTAAAGTACTTGCATAAAGTCCTCAAACACCAAAAAGGCAACAAATAGTTAAATCAACCTGAAAGAAGATTGAATGGGGATGTAGATGTTCCCTGTATGAATTATGGCACTAGAATGAAGGGAGTAAAGGACATCAAACCCAAAATACAAGTTCCATTACTTTCCCTTCATCCACTGCTATTCAAGTCTTTGGACACAAGGTGGGAGGCTAGTCCTACATGAGATTTAGCACACAGTTCACACTCTCTTTCCTCAACAACCACACGCTAACAGTACCTGCATATTGTCAATTCTTACAGCCAAAATAATGTGATCGAGGAGAAAAATAATGTAAATGATTATCACTAAGGACATGCTTTTCCTCCTAAATAATTGCAAGATCGTTTATTGGGAAACTGGTGGTACAAAAAGTCAGTCATAGAAAGTAGGCTGACAACTGGGATTCGCCAGCTCCTGCGGGATTCAGTGAATCGGATCAAGCAGCAATGGTTTCTCAGTGATGTAATGAGGATAAAATAGCTCTCTCTGGTAAATTCTGATTACAGGCACTGTTGTGGATCCATATTTCAGGAAGAGGGCCTCTGTTTTAAAAAGGTTTAAAGGCCTGCCAACGCAAAAAATTATATATTTATGTTGTCTGGTTTTTCTGGCAAAGGTCATCATTTTATTAGTGGAAATCCAGCAAATTAAACGTTCCAATGCAAATGTTCTACTTTGCGAAACAGACATTGTGAAGAATAGTATTTAAAAGAGCACAAAATAAAGGATAAATAGGTATATGAAGACTTCTAAGGGCACAGAGTGTTTCCAGGGCACTACTCTGTCTCATCAGTCTATACCAGTCCAAGCTGTCCCCCATTCAGCTCAAGAGATACATGTTCCTAGGTGTCATTATCAATCCTGTGGGCTACAAGGGAGAGAAAAGAGAAACAAAACAACAAGAGTATTTAAATTACAAGCAGAATGGCATTCATCTTTACTACTGGTGAACACAATTAAGTATTTATCATCATGAATGTCAGCATAACTTGGGATTGAAATAAATGGTATGTAAGCAACTGTATATTGTTTTGTTTGGTTTGGTTTGTGTACTCACATTGTTTTGGTATCCTGAGTGCTTCTGTGTCACCACATAGAACTTGGTGCATCACACCTCTGAACTGATAGAGCACCTTCAGACTCTTCTCCTCACCCACGCAGGGGTCATAGAAGCCCGGTAATCCAGCCTGAGGACAAACATGCAAAAAAAACCCCAAAAAAAACAGCCAATTAATACACCAACAGTTCTTAAAGGAACACTATTACGCATAGCCTGAAAACAGTTCCCAGCTAGGTAACTGTGAAAGCCAGTGGTCACATTGAGTTATATCATTGTGCCTGCTGCAGCCATGGTACAGCAGGAAAGTTCCTTGATTACTATTATTATGTTGAAATGAGAGCATAGATCCTAGCCACATTGGCATTAAAAATTGCATTTTTCAGTCCGTTTTTGTAAACGGTAAACCTAGGGAAGAGTCAAGGTTTAAAAATTTCTTTGGTCATTTTTTTAAACGAGAAGCTAATCCGATTCAATAACCTATGCTAAACTAAGCTAAAACTGCTACTCCAGACCCGGAGATCATCTGAATGGATTAAAAAAAATGGTAAAACTATATAAATATACTATATAAAAACATTGCCTATTTCCAAAAAAAAAAAAAAAAAAACGTGGAGTGTTTCTTTATGATTGAGATTTTTTTTTTTTGTATCCCATTTTTGTGGTTTTGGATCAGTTTAAGCAATCGATAACTACAGGGCCACATTTACACTACAGATATTGATGGCCAATTTCGATTTTGAGCCTGTATCTGATTTTCTTGATGACTAGTATCCAATAACATGTCATAATGTAGATGTCATGTCCATGTGTTGTGATTTATGCATAATTTGAAAAAAGTTTATTCACATTGCTTACACGATGGATGTTACACTCCCTTTAACATGCTGCTGAAATGCATCAACTTGTGATAAATGACTAAATACATTTGTTGGTACTTGTATACGTTTTTCTTCTCGTCCTATTGTGTATGAGGTTTAGGATTCATGCAGGACTCAGTTCTGAGGTGTCAGCATCAGAGTCGTCGCCATTCCCTACGGTTTTTCAATTACATATGATTCGTAATGATGGTTGGAAATCCGATCTACCTGCTCACACTGCAGATCCAAATGCACATATCCAAATTATTTTGAATTAATTACCACATATGAATGACGCCTGATTTAAACCAATCTGCGTATCTCAGAAAATAAAAATATTATTACATATGAACCATATCTAATTAGGTCACTTAAACCATGCAGTGTAAATGTGTCCTTAGATGTGCAAGATCATGATATTTTAGGCCAGGGTTACCCAAACCTTTTTTTTTTATGAAGGACCAAAAACCAAATTTAATTGAGTCTGGTGGGCTGAAGGTAATTACAATTGCCATACATTTTATATTGAACTTATTACAGTAAAAAATTACTTTTGCCTTGATGTCTTCTGCATAGTCCTCTATCCATCAAGTAACAGTATTTACATTTTTTAAAATCGGATTCATTTACAACAATTAATTGAAACATTTAATTTTCAGTTTGCCTTTTTTGTAGCTCAGAAATAGAACAAACAAATCAGGTTACATAAAATTAGAAATGATGAGTTAAAGGAATTCGCCCCAACCCTCTCCATCATTCTCACTCTTCTCTGAGATGGGCTGGTGGGCCAAATCAAAGTTTATAATGGGCCAACTATGGCCCGTGGGCCCTACTTTGGGTATCTCTGTTTTAGGGCAATATACTGGATTTTTAAACAGACACTTGCAACACACTTTTCAAACAAATTATCAAAACTTGCACAATAATTTGATCAACCGACTTTAAGAGTTGGTAAGATTTATGTTATTTAGGCTACAATTATTTCTTACTTTTTATTTACAAAAACATTGTAAAACATATAAATGTTATGAAATATTATTAAAATTACATTTAAACATTCGTCTTGCAATGTTTAAACTGTAATATTCCAGTGACGGCTAATTTAAAAGTTGGAAAAGCTAAACTTTTCACACCATTTACCCAAGCAGTAATTATATTACCATTTTTAAAATACTAAAGGTCTTTGTTGAAAGTACTAATTTTATACAAATAAAAGAACTTTTAAAGCATATGCATTTTGTGTTCAATTGTACGTGAATTTACAGTTTTGAAAAAGATTAAAATATTTGTCTTTTGGACTAATATTACAGAGCAGGCATAACTGAGCTTTACCTTAGATGCTTCTGTGAGCATGAGCTTAGAGTCCTTCACCAGACACTGTAGAGGCACTGTCACATCAATGACCCTTGCCCTTTCATGCTTACGGCTGTTGTCCGTCACAAACTTGCCATACCAGGCATTGAGGATGATCAGACCTGAAAAAAGAAAAGAAAGACGTCTTACTAACCAATCCCCACTTGGCAAAAAAAACAAATAAAAATGCACCCTTTGATCATTATTGGGAGTTATGCTGTCATACCCATCTTAGACTCCTCTGCTTCGATAATTCTGCGCACAGACTCCTGCATCAGCAGAACCTAGAGAAAAGAGTGATTTCA